ATTTTTTGTATTTTTCCAGACCCCCCTTTTTCTTTTTTTTTTTTTTTTTTTTTTCTGTCATTGACAGAATAGGTCTAGTATCTAGCTTATAGAACTCCAGGAAATCATAGGTTGCTGCTGACCGAGTAACTGCAGGTAGTCTGTATCCGTCAGTTTTATATTTTGTGTGAAACAAAGCCTGTGACCCACAAGGTCCATGGTCACTTACTGGTCAGTCAAAACATTGACTCAACTATTCTTCCAAAAGCTAGTGAGGAGGTGACAAAGTCAGCGGTCCTGACTGGGAAACTGTGCTGGTGGCTGCCTTTGCCCCGAGAGTTAGCATCACAAGCAGAGAAGAGCGTGAGGGAACATCCGAACAGCTGGGGAGTCCAATGAGCCTTGTCTTCTCCTGAGACATGTATGAATATTTCTTTGACCATAAAAAGCAGTGTGGATATATCCAACTAGGCAGCTAGAGAAAGCCCGGCACGTGCCAAAATCAGGGTAACTCTTCTTGCTCAGCCAGGCAGAGATCCATCAGGTAGTTCACAATCCTTTCTTCCCTTTAAATCCAATGCTTAGTAGTAATTACTATTATCCATGCTGCATCAAGCCTTCCGCCAAGGAGGATGTATTTAAAAGCCCAAAGTTCTGGGCCCTAAGTCAGCAAAGCCTGCTTGAGCAAGGCAGAAGATAAATACATCCCTTAGCTAACTTTGGGGTGGGTAAGCCGACAGCAGTTCCCAAAAGGGTTGTCTTCTGGCCACTGTATTACATTCCCCTAGGGCAGAAATTCGGGGCCTCTAGTGACACCTATGCATAGAATCCTTGATTCACTGGCATTAAAGGAAAAATGTCTTCCTGTCCTCTAATGAAAACATAAAACTTCAAGCAAATATGATCTCCAGTAAATTCTTTTTTAAATAGGAAACTTGGCAACCATATGTATGATTACCTCTCTGGTTGAAATGTGTTGGCTCTCAGAAGGGGTGCACAAGTCTCAGTGTACCTTGCTGAAGAGCAGCAAGCAATGGTTATCTGCTAATCCCACCACTTCCTAAGGGAGAACCAGGTGTTGCCTGGTGGTATCAGAGGGTTTTAAGCACACACGGAGATTTTCCCAAGCGTCTTTCAAAGCAAAGTCACTGCCAAGCTACTGTGAGTGTGCATGTGCTGTAAACCCACGTGCAAGCAATGACTGAAACAGACCTCAAAGACTACTGCAGAGGAGTGTTGAAACAAGCGAGGAGCAATGGCTTACAGTGTGGCAGACTTAGAATTTCTTTCAGAGCTTCCCAATTACCTACTGAGGGACCTTAGACAAGTCCATTTTCTATCTTCCTTTCTTTCCTTTTTTATATGTGAAATAAAGATAATCCCTTCTTGCAAGAGGGTGAAATAAGTTACTCTTACCCTTAAATAAGTTAATAAAGGTGAAAACACCTCATAAAGCACTTATCCATGGTGAACATGCAAACAGTGCTGGACGTTGGTGATTATCTTGGTCATTGTTGGTGATGACTGTTATGATTAGAGTGGTGTAACATCTGAGACACAGGGGGAAATATTTACAAAGGCCTGAATGTGTGACACACAAAATTACCTATTTAGAGATTTTGTCATCTTTTCCCTACTGTATCATACAGCCTATGTCAGTGTAGGCATATTACCAATCCTCTATGAGCATTTGGTAAATAAAGCCATTGAACAATCATTTATCGAACATCCACTATGACCCAGTCTCTGTCATATAATGGAACATTCAGGAGTATTTATAAGACATAGACCCTGCCTTCCAGGGGTTTACAGTCTAAGGGGCACACAGGTAATTTATTGGCAGTTAAAACCAGTATGACCCAGCCACAATGGCACAGCAATAGCATGCAGCTCTGTGGTGCTGGAGCCATAGGGAAGACCAGGGTTTGGTTCCCAGGTCAACCTGTACACATCAGGCATACACAAACACCTGTAATTCTGGCTGTCCGCAAAGCATAAGACCCTATTGCGAGTGTTTGTTTCTCTGTGGATGTGTTTCTTTATGTCTGTCTTTCTGTTTCTAAGGGAAACTTTTTTAAAACTTACGATCAGTATTGAGATAAAGGAAACTATGATGATCTAATAAGAACACATAGAAGAAATACCATCCCAGCCCCATCCAGCTATTGTTTTTAAGCATCCACTACTACTAAGAAGTTTAGCAGTCACTACGAATAAAAGATGAGTAAGATTTGGTCCTCATAGTAAAAAGGTACACAGTTTGGTGACAGAAATAGACAATGCAGTCCCTTATGTGCTATGACAGTCAAACACAGGGTCTCTGAAAGCCCAGAAAGGTGCATGACTCAGCCTGGCTAAGAGCTGGGAGGTTAAGGTAAGGCCCTGAAGAAAGTGAGTCTAGAGAAGAGGCCTGAGGAATAGCAGAATAGTTAAGCAAAGGCAGAGTGAGAGAAAGACTATTCTGGACAGAAAAGATGAAGTTATAGAAATCAGTAAGAACATGGTATATATGAGAAATGCAAGTGATTCAGCATGGCTAGCTTATAGAATAAGGAAATTAAATATAAGGCTTTAAAAAGGACAAGATCACAGAGGGGCATGTTAAGCTATGTAGACTTTGGACTTTATCCTACAGCCAATAGAGAGAAAACCTCTGAAGACTGTAATAGCAACATGATCACATATAGTGGTATGGTCCAGCAACAAAGAAACGGTGGCATCTTTCTTTCTCTTTCTCTCCCTCTCTCTCTCTTTTTTTTTCCTTTCTTTCTTTCTTTCCCTTTTTTTTCCCCCAGCAGTATCCATTTCTGAGACTTCAATTTCAAGCTATTTGCTTACTCTGGGTTATATTTTCTCCATGTTACTAATAACAATGATTAGAATCAAAATATTTCCCAGATAATGATGGTGCATATATTATAACAATTATTTGCTATATATAGCAAGCCTTTTCTTCATTCCCTGTAGTTACTTTCTTTTTAAAAAAAAGGATTATTTTATTTAACTTTATTTATTATGATTATTTTGCAGTTTGATCAGAGAGAGACAGAGAAAGAGAGAGAGGGAAAGTAAGAAAGCAAGCCTCCAGGTCTGGGACTCAAACCGTGGTCACCCACGTGGGAGTCTAGTGCCTAGAACTACCACACCACCTGGCAGCACCCCCTGTAGTTACTTTTTAATGTCAGATGCAATCATCTATCCTTTTGATCAACTCATGTACTCATGTTTTCTGTTTTTATTAAGGATTCAGTTTGTTTCTTGTGGCTGGTGATGAATTTGGTCACGCTCTGGGGCTCTCTCATTCCAATGATCAGACAGCCTTGATGTTTCCAAACTATGTCTCCCTGGATCCTAGCAAATACCCACTTTCTCAGGATGATATCGATGGAATCCAATCCATATATGGTGAGTACAACACAAATCTGAACATACGTGAACTAAATAGGAAGCTTTTCAGAAAGGAAGTTGAGAAAATCACTTATTGAAATATTGTCATGAAGAAAATATTCTCTTAGGTAAGAACCTTAGGTGGGCCTATTTCCTTATGCCTTCTTAATTCACTGTAATATTTTTTTTTCTCACCAAAGGAGGTCTACCTACCACACCTTCTAAGCCAAAAGGACCCAAAATACCCCATGCCTGTGATCCTGACTTGACTTTTGACGCTATCACCAACATCCGCAGAGAAGTAATGTTCTTTAAAGGCAGGTAAACCCATTCCCTTAAATACTGCCACTTCCTATGAAGATTTTTATTTCAAGGGAGTTGGGGATTAAGAGGGCATCACATAGATAGTAAGAATATGTGCTTTTTACTTTTTGCTTTGTATCGGCTCATATTATCTGAATGCTTTCCCATGTGCATAGGTCTCTTAATTATTTGATATATTAGTTTTTAGGCAAGTTTTTTTAAGTTGTATTTTTATAAGCAGGTAGACTAGAGCCTATTTTCAGTGACTCTTTGGCTAATATACTACACCAGGTGTGTGCTGGAAATCATATATACTTGATTTCAGGAGTCTATTGTTAAATCTTTAGGAATTTTGTGAATAAGTTCATGTCACACAGGGGGTCATGGTTGGGCTAGTTACACTCTGGAAATGAACAATGGCTAAAAATCAGGTTTTTGTCCTAGCCAGATAGCCCAGTGCTTAAGCATGTATCTGCATACCACTGAGCACTTCTTCAAGCTGAATCAAGGAAGCACTAGCTGTAATGGGAAATCTCTTCTCTCCCTATATGTGTAGCTTAATGGCCTTAAATTGAAGCATAAAGTGAGAGTTATGTATACCACGACCATATTTTCAGGGCAAAGTCTCAGGACATACACCATTTGACCAAAATATATGAGCAAAAGGAAAGAGCGTTTGAAATAGGACTTCTGTCCATGACCACATAGCACTGGGATTGCACACTTTCACTACCATGCTCTGGCCAGCAGAGGTGAGAGACCCCTTGTCACGGAAATCAGAGAGGGGCTGCTTGTAGTGGGGAAGAAAATGAAATGGAAGGACTTTTCAAGTTTTATACATAGACCCAGAATTTTACAGTCTGAAGGGAAATTCTGAGAAAATAGTTTGGCGTGCCAATGAGATGATAACATTTCTTCATTCCAGCAGATAATAGCATCAACAAGTCCCTTATGTTGGCTTAGAATCTGGGTATTGCTACTGTGGCAACAGACCAGGTATAAAGGCATATCCTAACCTTGGTAGTCCAAAGAGTAGAACTAAATTCACAATCTCCTAAATTTGCTGGGGGAAATTGTGCTTGTGCCAGTTCTCCAAATTCACTGAGGCAAATACGACCAACTAGATAGTAGGCAAGCCTAAGATTGCAATGGGTTCACTGATGTATTAATAGATGTATATGCTGCAAGTATAAAGCACTTTTTGTTTAACATAGGCACCTGTGGAGGATCTATCATGATATCACCGACGTGGAATTTGAATTAATTGCTTCATTCTGGCCATCTCTGCCAGCTGATCTTCAAGCTGCATATGAGAACCCCAGAGATAAGATTCTGGTTTTTAAAGGTACCCGTGCCTATTATGATTCCTCCTCTTCCTCTGGATGCCTGAACTGGCCAGTGAGAGTATATTGGTGTAAGGAATAAAATCTTTTTTTTTTTTTGTGGAGAGGTTTTTTGCTATAGGGCGCGTGCACTCACCAGAAAGACAGAGAGAGATAGAGAGATAGAAAGTGAGAAATCACCCCCTGGGGGGATGGCCATGCTGCAATCCCTTCTCTTCCATTCTCCTCTCAGGATCTTGGGCACACACGCACACATGCCCGGAGTGAGTTTAAGCCGCCAGGTCTGGGACTCAAACCGCAGTTGACTACCTGGGAGTCCAGCGACATGGCGATTATGCTAACTGCTGGTCCCAGGAATAAAATCTTCATGCACAAGCCAATTTTATAAGGCTTCTTCCCCTATCTTCAGTTTCTGTCATAAAGAATTCTTAGTGACTGAGACAATAAACACCATCCCAATTGCACAGGAACTAAAGGAAACCTGTGTAAAAAAATAAAAGAAGAAGAAAAAGAAAAAAACTTTTATTTTCATAACAAAGAAAGACAATATATCTCTGTTTTATATTCCTTTTTTACTAAGGTTACCAGATCGGTCAAACAAAATACAAGATGCTATGAATTTCAGATAAATAAGAAATTGTTTTGTATTATTATATATGCATGCCACATGCAATATTTTGGATATATGGGAGGACTTTGAAAAGTTTGTTGAATGTAATTAATGTACAAGTTCATTTTGATGCAAAAAAAATGTGAACTTCGTGGATAGTTTTCTAATCAGTATTTTCCATGAACTTTTTGAAAACCCCTTTGTACTTATACCAAAAATTGATTATTACTTATTTGAAATTCAAATTTCACTATTACTTTATATTTAATTTAGCAACCTCCTTTTTAATATATGTTCCATCAAATTACTTGTCTTCAAGAGCACTTGGGAGCTGAAATTTAGGAAAACATATCCAAGCACATTTGACTTATTTTGTTTTTTAATTTTTGCCAAAAGGCATGCGTTGCCAGAGAGAGACTGAGAGAAAGGGAAAGGGAGAGAGCACCCCCAATGGGACATGGTCACACCTCAATCCCTCCTTCTCCACTTCTCCATCTTGTTGGGATTTAGAGCATGCATGTTCATGCATGTTGGGATTTAGAGCATGCGTGTCTGGCATGTTCTCAAGCTGCTGAAGCCAAGATTTGAACCACATGATTGGGCATGTGGGATCTGGCTCCCTTAACCACCAGGCCACAGACTAGCTCCACACTTGACAGAGTTAGCCAATTAAAAGCAATGAATACTGTCAGGAGTATGTACATACTGACGGAAGGTTTATAAAATTTGCATAATATTAAGGATTTAAGCAGCTAAATAAAATGATAAGTCGAGCTATAAGATTACTAAATCTCTAAGCACTGAAGCTGAGAGAAACTAGGCTTCTAATTTTTCTCAAACATCTTAAGACATCTATTTCTCTCTCTAAGAAATAGATCAGAAGGTAATCACTTTCTCTCTTCCTAGATGAAAACTTCTGGATGATAGGAGCCTATAATGTGTTGCCACGGTATCCCAGGTCCATCCATATACTTGGCTTTCCAAGATATGTGAAGAAAATTGATGCAGCTGTCTGTGACCAAGACACGAGAAAAACCTACTTTTTTGTGGGTATTTGGTGCTGGAGGTAAGTTACAATTGATCTTCATCTTACAATGAAGGTAAACATCCACAATAACATCACTTCAACACAGACAAAAATAACATAAAGCCATATCATCTTTAAGAGAACTAGGCTGAACGAACTTTCTGGAGGATGACATTTACCAAATTGAAGATATTCAATGAATCCAGCGATCTTTCTCCAATTTAAAAAATAAAGATAAGATAAAATAATAAAGCTGCTGATGCCAATCGAATTGCCAATGACACAAACATATTCAGTCAAAAATCTGTGACATCTCCAAGCTGAACTCTCAGTTTGATTTAAGAATTCATGAGAATGGGACCAGATGGCTTAATGGTTACATTGCTGGACTCCCATGTCGTTGACCACAGTTCGAGTCCCTGACCCAGAGGTTTAAACTCACACCAGGCTTGTGTGTGTGCACATGCGCGTGCACACACACAATCTCAAGATGAAAATGGAAGAGAAGGGATTGAGGCATGGCCATCTTCCCTGGGGGGATGGGGAGATTTATTGTTTTCTGTCTCTCCAGTGAGCACATGTGCCCTATAGCAAAAATCTCTTTAAAAAAAAAAAACCCTGGGGGAACCAGCAGTTAGCGTAATGGCTATGTCGCTGGACTCCCACGTAGTCGACCGCGGTTCGTGTCCCAGACCCGGTGGCTTCAAACTCACGCCGAGTGCGTGTGCGTGCGTGCCCAAGATCCCGAGAGGAGAATGGAGGAGAAGGGATTGCGGTGAGACCATCCCCCCTGGGGGGTGATTTCTCGCTTTCTGTCTCTATGTCTCTCTCTGTCTGTCTGGTGAGCGCACACGCCCTACAGTGAAAAAATCTCTCCAAAAAAAAAAAAAAAAAAACCTTAAAATAATATCAATCTAACAAAGGATGTAACCTCTTGCCCTGATCATTTCTTGTGTTTAAGATATCATGCAGGTTCCACCAAACATAATCTCTGTCATACTTTTATTATTGATTCAATTAATTTTTATCTATCAGGGCTAATTATTTCCCATCTCCCAGCTCGACTCTAAGTTGGGCAGTAGAATTAAGCTCCCCAAGACAAAGATCCGCTGAAAAATACTTTCACATCTGTGCACGCAGGTATGATGAGATGACCAGAACCATGGATAGAGGTTACCCGCAGAGGATAGTGAGACACTTTCCAGGGATTGGGCTCCGTGTTGATGCAGCTTTCCAGCACAAGGGTAAGAACTAGCAGAATACTTGGAAGTTGGTGTTTACCAGAAAGACAGCATAAAAACTTAAACTTTTGTTTTAATGTGATTTCACCATTCTTAATACCCAACGTAATAAGCATTAGCTCTGTAGGCATTATCAGAAACTCAGTCAATGAGTCCTGAATTAAACTCTGTTATGCTATTTCAAACCTATGTAAAAAGTACCAAAATGGGGACCAGCAGTTAGTGCAATGGCTATGTCGCTGGACTCCCATGTAGCTGACTGTGGTTCGAGTCCTGGACCCGGTGGCTTAAATTCACACCAGACTCGTGTGCAGGCATGCCCAAGATCCCGAGAGGAGAATGGAGGAGAAGGGATTGCAACATGGCCATCCCCCCTGGGGGGGTGATTTCTTGCTTTCTGTCTCTCTGTCTTTCCAGCGAGTGCATGTGCCCTATAGCAAAAACCTCTCCAAAAAAAAAAAAAGTACCAAAATGAATTTTACTCATCATTGATCCAAGATGCACCCAAAGACACTCTTTAATGTATTAAAAATGACTAAGTACATGAACTGAGTGATGATTTTCAAGCTTTAATATATGTAGTTTAATGTACATAGCTTGTGAAAATACAAATTTCAAAGTATCTGAGACAGTAGAATTGTGTTAGACCCAGAAATCTTTAGTTTTAAAAGAACTGAGATTATTTTTCAATGCACACAGCCCAGCCATTACCTTTTCAAAGATATAACCTGGATCTTGAAGTAATCAGGAGGCAAAAAATGGTTTTGAATGAGGCAATTTGTTATTCTAGTGAAATCTAACATAGAACCTCAAAACCTAAAGCGGACTAAACAACCCTAAGAAAATGAGGATTTAGGCTCCAAGGCCAGACTCAGAGGGTATCTCCTTCCCCTCACTGAGACATTTGTTAAAATCTGGTTTAGGAACCTGTGGCATAAACCACAGTGTGATTTTGAAATTTATGCTTCATACCTTGGTTCCCTCCTCAAAGAAATAAAAATAATAGGATTGACCACAAGACATGACAGAAGAAAAAGAAAATGTATCTGTAAAATTCCCCAAGTTTCTTTCCTCTCCATATGTTATTTTATTCTATATTCATAGAATTAAGTATGGACCCATTATATAGTTATGTAGCATAACTAACTATGATTCTCTCTCCAGGTTTCTTCTATTTCTTTCGTGGATCAAAGCAATTTGAATATGACATTAAGGCAAAGAGCATTACCCGAATAATGAGAACCAATACTTGGTTTCAGTGTAAAGAACCATTAAATTCATCACTTGATTTTCATTTCAACCAGGAAAAAGCATATTCAGGAGAAGTGGAGACATTGCACCATCAGAGTTTAAGCTTGCTCATTTTCAGTATTGTCCATCTGCTGAACAAAATATGTAGCTATTAATAAATTCATAGACCTAACATAAACTTCAAAAAGTCTTTAATCAGAACTGCTTCTTAAAGTAGAATACAACCATTTTTAAACATCAAGATTCCAGTCTTAGTTTTAAATATCTATTTAGAAATATTTTTATAAACATTCAACAGTTACTTGAGCTGCTTGATTTTTCTAATAGAAAGTTATTATTTTAATACAATCAAAACTTTTGTACTTTAGTTCTATTTCATGCTCTGTGGACTTGGGAAGTAAGACATCATATAACTAAATACGGAAGACATTTATTAAACCAGTCTTTAACACTCTGCATTGTCTCAACCTTTGGAATTTGAGAAGCCAGATAAACTACTGAACTCCAATCAAATCATTTATCCCACTTTCCAGGAGAAGAGTGAGAGCCTAAAAAGATGCAGGGAGGGTGACACTAGAGACAATCCCCCCCAAATTAAGAAACTAGCAGGAGTAAGAAAAAAATGTTCCTTCCAGCCTCCCAAACATTGACTCCTGCACTAAACCATCTCTTAGGGTGTAAAATAGAGTTTTGTGCACATTGACCTCATATACAAAATGAGGCTTCTCTTTCCATCTTGAGGAGAAACCTATTGTCTACAGTGTAGAACTCTTCTCACCTTCCCTGTATGGTCTTTGAGCTGAATTTCTGCTCTTAGTATCTACGGGGACTTTGTTTTCTTGAACATTACAAACATTATTGACATTTTCGTTTTTCTGTAAGAATGGAACTTGTTTTAAGAAACAACAAAAAGAATCTCTTCCAAAATGTTATATTAGAAGTACAGCTGGGGTGCAGTGTCCTCCACTGATTCACATGGGAAGGTTCCAGGTTCGGGTCTGCAGACTTCTCTCATGTGTGCCCATGATCCAGGGCTGTCTGGGGATCATGGCATTGGGATCATGTTGGGATCCAGCAGTTGGTGTGGTGGTGAAGGCACTGGACTCCCAGTGCTGGCCACAGTCCGAGTCCCAGACCTGGTAGCTTGCTTTCTCACTTTCTCTGTCTTGTCTTTCTTTTTCTCTGTCTGTCTGTCTGTCTCTCTCTCTCTCTGGTGAGCATGCATACCCTATAATAAATTTTTTAATGATAAATAAAATTAAATAATTCTTTTTAAAAAACATGTTGGGGGTGTTATCTCTCTGTCTCTCTATATCTCTCTCTTGCTCATGGAAAGAAAGAGTGAATAAAACCTAAAAATTTTTTTAGCAGATCTCCTTTTCTGCTCTTTTGCTCCTTTGGCTTATTGCCCTCACAGCAGCCCGAGAGATTGTTCTGAAATACACATCAAATAAGCTTTGCTTCTCTCTAAGTCTCTCTGGAATCCCCTATGAGGCCCTACAGGATTTGTCTCTCTGATACCTCTCCTTCATTCTGTCTCCTTTGCTCCCCAATCACAGGAGCCTCTTCACTTTTTTTTTTTTTTAACATTTGAGGAACTGTTAATGTAAAAAAATTAACTTGAACATTTTCCACCTCATTCACTGCATTCAAATTAGGAAAACATCTTGCTTTCCAGACTTGCCTCCTGGTGGCAAGAACAGCACACGTCAGAAAAGATGCCTCTTATGTGACAGATATGCAAGCTGAAAATCAGTCCCTGTATTTTTAAGTCATTATCTTCATTGTTAAAGACTGTTTAACTCCAAGCTAGTGCTACAAATAATTATAACAATAGTGACCATTTACTGAACCTTTACAACAAGCTATAAATGACTTCATGTTTATCTCTTTTATTCTCATAACACTGATGAGGATGGGTCTTGTCATTTCACAAAGAAATAATGCTTTAGAGCGATGATTTTGTTACCCATAGTCCCGTGATAAATGTTCAGATCCAAGTCCTGTCTTACATATTTACGTTTTCCTTCTTCTCATGAAATATGAATGCTCTAACGCTCTATCATGTCCAGTATATTTATCTGCTCACCTTTTTTTCTTTTATTTTTTTTTTTTGAGTTTTTTTTGCTACAGGGCACGTGCACTCACCAGAAAGACAGAGAGAGAGAGACAGACAGAAAGCAAGAAATCATCCCCCAGGGGGGATGACCACGCCACAATCCCCTCTCCTCCACTCTTCTCTCGGGATCTTGGGCATGCACGCACACGCGCCCGGCATGAGTTTAAGTTGCCAGGTCTGGGACTCCAATCACAGTCGACTACCTGGGAGTCCAATGACATAGCCATTACGCCAACTGCTGGTCCCTTTATCTGCTCACCATTAAGAACCTGGTTCTTTAGTTCATGCCCAACTTTGTGGCAGCTCTCGTGGGCTTCATTGCGATGTGTTTCCTGGTTCTTCTGCAATGTATTTCACCAAAGTTCTGATTTCATGATTGCTGTGGTTTATTTTCTCAATGTGTGTAAAGGAAAAAGAACACAGGATTTTCCTGTTAAGCAAGCCTATGATACACTAAGTGACAACCGATAGTAACCTGGGTTATGCTGGAGCCAGCCATGCCTGCATCAGTCCATGAAGACCTCCCTGCTGAATGCAATTCTCAAAGTGGCTCCGGGAAACCCAGCTATGTTTCCACTCTCCATTCTCTTGGCCTGGGATTCCCTATTTCACAGTAATAGAAATAGCTAAACATATTGGCTTACAAGTTATGTACATAGACCCACATAAGCAAAGAGTGACAATTTACAGTTTGAATTTTACCGATTGTTTTCCCATCCGTGATCTTGTTTGGTTCTCAGGATAACCCTTCTGGGTAAGCTAGAAAATGCTGGAAGTGATAACTCTACTTCACCCATTTACAGAGAAGAAAACTAAGATATGCAACTAGCTGGTAACAAAGATGGAATTCATATTTAATTCTGAGTTAGATCCCTGGGCTAGTGGTCCTGTGTGCTTTTTACTACAATTATCTTCTTTATAATAGTCTTCTATATTACTCTTCCAACTTACATTTTTGTTGCTGTTGAGGAGTCTTTATTTTAGTGTTTATCACCCCTTTCCTATATGCAAGGACCATGCCTTAGGTGCACTTATTTTCAGCATAGGGTCTAATACCGAGGAAGCCTAAAGAAATGTGTGTTGGATGGAAAACAATCTCCGGGTCACACTGTCCTGATCTTTGGGCTCTCGTGTTCCCTGTATTTATTTCATACAACACAAGCCTGAGGTGCCAGTGGTATTTTGGGGAATGTTTAAGTCCAGCTCACCGCCTTACAGAATCCAAAGAGGGGCATTGGGATAATTACACTATACCAGCAGAGAGCATGATGGTTATGTCACTGGACTCCCTCATGGCCGATGTGGTTTGAATCTCAGGCCTAGCGGCTTGAAACTCAGGCTGGGCGCATATGTGTGTGTCCAAAATCCTGAGAGGAGAATAGAAGAGAAGGGATTGCAGCAGGACCATCTCCCCTACAGGGTTCTCTCTCCCTTTCTGTCTCTCTATTTCTCTCTGTGAGAGAGAGCATACATGCCCTATAGCAGAAATATCTCTCCCTTAAATAAAGAGAGAGAAGAGGGGCATCAGTAAATGTAAAATATAACACCCAAAGACATAACTGCCCATCACTGTGAGGAGAGGATTATAATACACTAGAAGCAGGCCTTAACAGGATCAGGTGCTCACAGAATCATGGAGTGGCGGCTTCCTTAATATCTCCTCTCTCTCTCTCTCTCTCTCTCTCTCGCTCTCTCTCTCTCTCACACACACACACACACACACACATACACCATCAGTTTAATTAAATTGAAGGCTCAAGACATGTGCTTCATTTTTGTTTACTGTGCCAGGTGGAGCCCAGGGCCAAAGGCTATCCAACTAGCTGGGCCAGTCCAGACCCACTCCTGGAGGAAGTGCCTTCCTCTCCCCTCAGCTGGGCCTTTCCACTATGGCTAACCCGGCCCCCCATCTTTCAGGCAGTGCCCAGGCTGTATCTCAACACCTCTCACAATGCCACCAGCCCAACTCCTCAGCTGAGGGCTGTTGACCCTGGGCTGGGTTAGAATTGGATTTGGACATCTGGGCTCTCCTCCTCTTATTCTGCATTTCCATTTTGTATGGCTTTCACCTCATGCTGGCAGCAGCTTGGTCTTTGCCCTTGTCTCATTCCCTCAGGCAACCTGAAGGCACGACTGACGGAAGCTTTGCCACTTACAACCCCCCGATTCCTCCCATTCTGCTGCTGCTTAAACTGAAACCTACTCCCCTCTTTGGAGAAAGGTGTGGCACTTGAGCTGTTCTAGTTGAACTCCAGCGAGTCGACTGGAATTGGGGAATGAAGGCAAATCATTCACACCTTTTAATATCTGGAAAATATAATGTTCATGGAACAATTTCCTCCTTAGAACAGTAATTCTCAGTACTAGATGAACAGCTAGATTACCGGCAACTGGGCTCTTCCCCACTAGACCAATTACGGCAGAATCTTGGTAGGGTGGGCCTGAGAGTCTCCATTTCTAGCAATGTTCCCGGGATGTTGGCCCACAGACTTTCTTTGGGTAGCACTAACTTCTAAAGTGGTAGTTCTCACATTTTAGCATGCATCGGAATTACCTAGAGGGTTTACTAAAACACCCAAGCCTGTCACCCACACCTAGGTCTTCTGATTCAGTCAGTCTTGAGCAGGCCTGAGGATATGCATGTCTAACAAGTTCCCAGGTGACAGGGATGTTGCTGCATCTGGAGACCAGACTTTGAGAACCACTGTCTTCTGCACTGTCCTTGCCCCACCCCAACCCACCGCAGTCTTTGTTGTCCTTCTAACTCCATCGTGGATGGCAAGGATCTGGGAGCCTAGAGCCCATCATCCTTTGATTGTTCTTGGGTCTGATTCCACAAATTTAACTTCAGGAGAGCCAGCAGGTGGTGTGGTGGTTAAGGTGCTGAACTACCACTTGGCCAACCATGATCTGAGTCCTGGACCTAGTGGCTTGAAATTCATGCCAGGAACATGTGTGTATGCCCAAAATCCTGAGAGGAAAATGGAGGAGAAAGGATTGCCGCATGTCCATCCCCCCTGGACGATGATTTCTCACTTTCTCTCTCTATAGCTCGCTCGCTCGCTCGCTCGCTCGCTCTCTCTCTCTCTCTCTCTCTCTCTCTCTGGCAAGCACA